ACACACACACACACACACACACACACACACACACACACACACACACACACGTTTTACTAAAGGCCTTTGACCGTGTAAAGCGTCCCAAGAACCCTCATCTTTCCCTGCTGCTGACTCCGACATTGAGAGTTACTTGTGTATTCTATAGGCATTGTTTGGATCTGCATCTCCTGTGTGTGTTTACCTTAACATCTATAAGGGCGGGCGGGCAGAGAGCCACCTGCTCCGGCTAGCGTTCTTTGGCCCCCGCTGGATGCCATTCTTCTTCAGATGTGTAATGCGGCCTTGAGGAGGCTTTTTACGGTCGCATCGTACACAGCGTTCGGGCCAATTACCCCTCGCAGCGCTGAAGCTTTAAAGGCCGTCCTGGGCCCGGCCTCCTTAGCCTGAGAGAGAGAGCCCCCCCCCTCCCCCTCGAATCTCACCCGTCCTCTAAGTCCAAATCGGCGTTCTAATCTTGGGTGGCATTAGTGGCAGCGATGTGCCAGCAAAAAAACTACACATGCAACGACAACAAAAATAGAGACAAACAAAAATCATCACTCTGGGTTTCGAGAAAGAGAAGAGGACAGTAGACACACGGGGGATAGAGTTCTCTTCTCTTTCTCGCAACTCTCCTTCCCTCATTCTCAGTCCACTGTGGCGTCTTTCTCCCTAGTCTCCTCTCGCGCCTCGTCCCGTCCCTGCTTCCCCCCATTTCTCTCCCGCGCGCGCTGTCGCTCTCTGCGGAATCCTGGCAGCCATCTTAGCGCTTGGCAGCCATCTTAGCTTTGGCGGTAGCCGTGCATTCCTGCTAGCTGACGGCACACCCACACACACACACACACACACACACACACACTTGCAAAGCACACACTCTTTCTCTCTTGCACTCAGACCCAGTAGTCTTAAAAGATAAAAAGACCTACAGAGGATATGCAATGCAAATGAAGTGAGGATAAAAACCACCGGGACATTTGTCTGCAGTCATGCAAGGGTCTGGTTGTTACGGAAACGAGTTAAATAAAAAAAAACAAGACACGATCACACACACACACACGTAAAGTATATACAGGGAAGTACAGGAATCACTCAAGGCAAGTGAGGCGATCGTAGGATGAACCGAGAATAAACGAAGCTCGAGGCCTTCGGTGGCGCTCGTCCCGACAACTGCAAACAGTTAAAACCGTTTTAAACTTGCCTGCCTCGGAAAAAAAATAATTAAAAAGAACCTCTCTCTCACTCACACACACACACACACACACTGCGTGACGGGTTCTGAGTCAAAAATTGGGGTGCCTGGTTGTCATGGCGACAGGGATGGCACACCGCAGCCCACCTAATGATGAGTGGTTGTCGAAGCCGGCGCGCGCACGTGTGCGTCGCTGTTTGTTCGGGCAATTAGCTGGAATGAAGGTAATAATATAGCCCTGCTGGCACGCGTTCAATGTGCTGTTTTTGTTTTTCTTGGCAGCGAGCGGGCCGCTGCTCCGCTATATGCTATAACTACATCAGTGTTTCTGCATTTTGAAGGTGTTGAATCCACTTCAGTTACATTGTTATCAAGCAGCTTTTTCACAACTTTCCAGTTTTGTGAGCTGAAGCTGACCTCTACGTTGTTACGGGCACACGCTTTACTCTTCTCTATCAAAGGACACGCTCATACAGTGAAGTGGTGGTGCGGCCGATCGATTGGTGCGGCTCTATAGACTTCTGAGGGAAATATTTGGCTATTTAGTCGCTAACGGCTTCCCGCTGCGACTGAAAAGAGAGTCGCGAGAGTGAACCTAAATGGGGGGGCCGGAAAAAAACCCCGAAACAATCGAATGAACGATGCTGAAATGGAGTCGGATGATAATTCTCTGTGGGGTTCGTCGCTTTGAGCAACCCACCCTGACGATTTCGTTGTGATATTTACGCCTTCATAAAGACAAACGCGTAATTCGTGGTACAATTCAAACGGGATCAAAAAGATATTTGTTTCCTCGTCCCGCGCCGGTTCACCCGGAAGGGGCGGGACTCCGCCTCTCTACACAGTGTGTCACCAAATGAGCATTTATTAACATGTTGGTTTGAATACTAGCATGTGCACGGGCGAAACATGGATACACATGCCTTCCCGAAGAACAAACATGCTCTTATATACTCACACACACACACACACACACGTTTATACACGGATGAATCAGCCTTATCTCCTGCACACAGTCGCCCCAAGGCCCCCTGCATGCGCCTCACCAGAGATAATACAGAGCGCGCACACACAGGCCATCAAACACCCCGTGCTATCGCTCTAATCACACACAGAGCGGGTTCATTTTGTTCCTTAGTCGGCTGAATGATATACTCCTGAGTGAGTGTGTACACAAACGGTAACACTGGCCATACATTTATCACACTGCAGATGCAGACGGAGGCTAATAACTCACACCCGGGCTAATGTACACACACTCAAAGATCACACTTACTTAATCGCTCCATTCATCATGCGCACAAGTGCAAAAACAAAAACAAAAAAAACACGGCGCCGCAGAGACACACACACACACACACACAGACGCAAATCATTAAAAGACACTTGAACGTGAAATTGCGCACACATGCTCGGTCGCTCGGTGACGCTAATGGACTTGTGTGCATATTCATTCATAGACGGGTGCGCGCTGCTCAAACAGGCGCCAATTTACCGAACAGCTCGGAGTGTTTGTTTGTGCGCCGCGAGCACACACGCCAGCAGCTTTAATGTGCACTAAGTGAAAGGCAGACAGTAAAAACCAACAATGGAGATCAAATCAAACAGCTCTGGGTGTTAAAAGTCAATGACGGTCGAGGAACAACGATTTTCATAAACGTTTTCTCTTGTTCATTGTCAAGAATATCTTATTCATGTTAATATTTCCCTCGGCACCTCTCCAGCACACACACACACACACACACACACACACACACACACACTGGATGTAACCACTCTCACTGTATCTGTACCGTACACATGTAGCTAGCAGCTGGTTAGCTTAGCATAAAGACAAAAAAACAGGTTGTGGTTTTAAAAAACCCAACTCTGATGTCACTATGATGTCATAGGCAGGGAGGGCCTCATAAATAAAGCTCTATTGAGTGGCATTATGGGATTGAAAATCAGGATGTGTCACATATGACATGGATTCGACCCTTCTTGGTTTAAGCCATACGAAATTACTGGAGCTCCGGTTCAAATGGGGGTAAAATGCTTATTATCGTTTTAGAAAAAAAATGGCGGCGCATCCACGTTTGAATCCTTGCATCTAGAAGGAAAACTACGGTGGCAAAAATGTCCAGGACCGGCAGTAGAAGGCTGCTGTGGTGTATAAATACATGCATCTGCACAGTGTACGTGCGGACTAGACGGCCCGTGACCCTTTTGGCTCTGCGTCTCCGGCTCTAGCCGGCTGCACGCGGTGTCATTTAAGGACAGACGCGGTTCAGTTCACAGTCAAATGATAGGGGCCTCTTCCTCCGGCTGCTCGGGAGCTCCGCGGACAAATCTAGCATTGTTCTCTCCCTCTTCATGTCTCTCTCCCTTTCACTCCCTCATACTATAACCCCCCCCCCACCCCCACCACAATAACTCTGGTCGATACGAGCCGTGGCGTTCAGGTGTGCGGGTCCAAACCCCGTCGTTTCTCTGTGTGTGTATGTGTGAGTGGCAGCTCAGGTTCTGGGTTCAGGTGGGACTGCAGCTGTGGTGTTGTGTCCCGTGTAGATGTAACAGGGGTGGAGGGGGTGGGGTGGGGCGGCACACCCTGATTGGATTACAGTGCACATATGTACAGAAGTACTAAATATAACGGAGCATGTATGGAGACGGATGCAAAGCAGGCAGCGTACAGGCAAACTGCACTGATTGACATATATACACACAGACACACAAAAGTGTGTCTGTGTGTGTGTTTGTGTTTAAGTGTGTGGCTGCGCGGTCTCGCCCCCTCTCCCCCCCCCCACCAGCCTCTGGATAAAGAAACCAAGCAGCCTCCCCAATTGGGTTTCGCTTAAGAGGTTTATCGGTATGTTTATAAACATTCTGACCTTTTTTTTTTTTTTTTTTTTTTTTTTTTTAAATCTTTAATGCGCTTAAAATGTTCCAAACCCCCCCCTAATCCACGGCTATCCCACACAGATGTTCACTCGGCTCTTTTATTGGACTTCATTTCAACCTCTTATTTATCTTCTCCTCCTCCAACACCTCCTTCATCCTCCCTATGTCCCTCTTCTCTTATCACCCCCCCCCTCCCTTTCATTCTCGCATTTTTTTCCGGTTTTAAAAAAAAAAAAAAAATAAATCACTCATCGCCTTCAATCTTCTACCAGCAAAACTCATCTTGGCCTTGGTTTGTTTTTTAAGCCGGTGGTTCTTATTGGACACTGAAGTAGTTGATGGTACAGCAATGCGCATCTGTCCCATGAATGGCCCCCTCAATGTTTCTTTGTGATTTGTT